CCACTCCAGCAACCCTCAGTTTGTTTCCTGCGATTAAGAATTCCTCATATCAGTGAGGTCATCTGATACATGTCTTTCTCTGATTGACTTACTTCGCTCAGCATAACACCCTCCAGTTCCATCCACGTCGTTGCACTAAAGCCTCTTTTGCGCTACGGGATCCTGATTCTTAGATGGTGATAACACCAAACAGGCAAACTCAGTTATCTTTAAAGCCCGAAATCATCAGAAGGGTTTGAATGCAGTGCTTTAGCCCTGGGCCGAGCAGGGCTACTTTCTGGAAGTACACAAAGCCACAGATGATACTGGCTTGCTACCTGGGTCATTTCATCATGCTTGGAAACTAGCCAGAAGGCTGGGGTTATTCTGCATACTCGTCCCTGTGTTTCTGTCTATGTGACAATGACCAAGTGGTAACACGAAGGAGGACGCACGGAATTATGGTAAATGACCCTATTTGTACATCAGCAGGAAGTCGATAATAAAAGCAAATTTCCATTCTTTTTAAAACAAGGAAGGTGTTTCTAGGAGGAAAGTGGGACCGATTTATTTTAATTAAAAATAGAACGTGCATCTTTGAAATAGCTAGCCATGATATGGCTTCTGGGAAGTGTTATCTTATTCTTCTTTCTCCTCAGTCTAGCTTTCAAACAAAGTCCTGAATCTTCTGGAAGAAGTCTCTTTGGTGCTGGTGATCCCTGAAGGTGGGCCACCTGCTGTTCTTAAAGTGATGGTGTGACATCATGACCACAAGAAGCAGCTTGTCACTAAACTGCATCCAACCCCGCCCCAGGTGGGTAACGACTGAGCCAGACATACTGTATTTGAAGGGGATGGAAAAATTAAAAGGAATTTGGGTGTGAGATTGTATAGGTAGAAATCTTCAATGATGCATTTAAATAAGGCAGAGGTGTGATGGGGTCTTTGTATCTTAAATATGGGAGAATATTCTCAGTGTTTTTCAAAATAGAATGAGGATACTTACAAAAATAATGATTTTCCCAACTATTGTCAGAGATTTATAGAATCATGATCTTTCCAGGGTCATCCATCTTTTCCGATTATTGCCACAGAGACCTATTGAAGGACCGTATTGAGACAGACAAAAAGGATCTGGCTCTGGCCCCACACTGTTTTTTTCTTCTCCACGCTCCCCCCACCCCCCAAAAAAGCTTCCACTGTTATTGTCCTCTGCAAGGCACACAGTACTTGGAAACAACACGTAAGAGTCAGGTTTGAAACTTTTTTGTTTAATCAAGAATGAATCAAATGTCAGCGACTCAATGTTCTAGATCAACAATTTCCGGGATTGATACATCTTAATCAAGTAATTAGGTGACTTTTTCGGTGGTGTTTTCCACACCGGAGAGAGGAACAGATTTGCCGCTTTGCTCGGCTGGCTGCTAGGAGCAGTGCTGGTTGTTAACAGAGACATTTACACGGAACCACCAGTTGGCAGGGGCTCACACTCTGTTCCTTGATATTCCCACATGCTGAGGATTGTGGGAAAGCTGCCAAGCTTTCTGTGTCATGTAGCTCCTGGGTGTAATAGCAACAAAAAGCCTTGGGGAAAAAAAAAACAAAACGAAGAAGAAGAAGAAAAATGAATAAAGGAAACAATGAAACTAAGTCCCAGGCCTTTCGTATTAGACAGGAATAGAATGAGAGATTTTTAGTGGCTTTTATCCCCTTCTTCCCCTTTTTCTTTTTTCTTTTTCTTTCTTTCTCTCTCTCTCTCTCTTTCTTTCTCTCTCTTTCACTCGCTCTCTCTCTCTCTTCGTTTAAAAAGCATTTTAAATTGAGGTTGATGCTCCTCAAACTTTAAAGCACATTTAAACCACCTTGGGGTCCCGTTGAAAGGCAGATTCGGATTCTGCAGGTTGGAGGTGGGACCTGAGGATTTTCACTTCCACCTGGCTCCCGGTGATGCTGATGCTGCCAGTGTTCAACTATTATTTGGATGATGGTGAGGATTGAAGAGACAGCGGAAGGAGTAACACATGACCAGATCTTGTAGAGATGGTTGTGCTTGTCTCACATGCAAGGGCTCTAAAATGACAGTGATGCCTTTCTCTCTCACCTCTTCTAGATACCTGGGATTGAACCTTTTTTATATTATGACCCCTATCAGTAACCTCACCTGTATTGGATAAAATATTATGAGTTAAAAAATTCTGATCCTAGTTCCAGTTCTGTTACCAACTAGTTGTGTGATAACAAGCTGGTCCAGAATCCTCCCAGGGTATCAGTGCGTTCATCCGTACCCCGGGGGATTGCATGTTAGGTGTTCGACAGTTGTCTCAGTCACTAACTTGATGAGATGTCATGACCTATGTATTGAAAAGTTGGAATTTCTGGGGTTGTACCTGAAACCAATAGCATCTGAATTTGCTTTTGGTTACTTTGTCTTTCATATGATATAAAATCAGTAAAAGCAGCTCCAAACAATGGAGGCTTTTCTACTGTGTGTCCCTGACCACATAAATATTTGAGCCCAAGTAATTGAGGGCTGACCGTGACACAGACCAGGAGCTGGTGACAAAGCACACCCTATTGTGGAGGGAAGTGATACCTCATAACCCTGGAAGCTAAAATGGGATGACTGGGAAGCTGAGGAGCATGTTGCAATGGTCCGAGAGAGTCAGAGGGCCAGGTGGTCAGGGACATCACCCAGGAGATTAGGAGGAGCTGACGACCAGGACTGACAGTTCTGGTTCCTTTGGAGGTTCATAAGATCAAAACAGGGCTCCTCCTAGATCAACGAGGATAAAAGGTGAGGGAGACCACGGAGATATGGGCAGTACAGGCTTTAGAATCTATAAGCCTGGTGAAAAATGAAAATGCGGAGCCCCTTCTTTAGTAAGTAGGAAATAAGTGTCATTGATATACCATAATATAAAGCTTTTTCCTTTCTTCCATGATCTTTCCAACTTATTATAGTGTTTATTTAATATCATTCTAAGTGAAGAAAAAGAAAAATTTTAAGTTATTAGCATGAATTTTGCCATCTAAAAATTGTGCAATGTCCGTTTAAAATGCAAATATGAGAGCACTTACTTCTATGCAGAATTGCCAAAATGACATATTTCATAGCGCAACCATGCATATCTATTTTGTTCTCACCAAAGCAGTGGAAACACTGCACAAAAACAATGCAACTATTTTTCACTTCTTGATATGCACATATTCTATCAAATCTTTCATTTACTGGTGAGTAAGGAATGATTGAGAAAAAAAAGAAAGAAAGAAAGACTGGATTATGGGTTGCCCTGACTTTCCCCTTTCTTCAATGTCATTATTTTTTAGCATAAGTGAGTGACAAATGCAAGCAAGTACCACAAGTAGGAAAGGACACAATAGAGTTCCTTATTCATTTGTTTCTTAGAATGCCATTGCCTTTTTTCTGTGTTGGAAGCAAGTTCTGGTTTGGACAGAAAGCATTGTTTCTTGGTGCTCTTTGTGATCCCCACCTTCACCTTACTCAGTTGTAGATACAGCATGTTTACCTTGTATTTACTCTGGATCCTGCTGAGCTTCCATGCATCATGGATCCACCAGGATTCTGAGCTTAGTGGGCATCATTGATGCTATATGTGAATAGAGAGGCAAGGAAGGTAGACAGGCATATATCCTCTGTTCATACACATGTTCCATTGTCCCAAGGGCCTTCACATACAAAATACAAGTTCAAAGCTAAAACCATGAAGAATTTCAAGACTCTCACAGCAGAGCATTAAAGCAAGTGTGGGACACCAGGTAATCGCACTACTTGAATGTCCATGAAGCTGATTCTAGATACAGAAACAGAAAAGAATGAATCAAGGCAGTGCTTGGTCCAAATGGTCAAGAAAAGAATCTCATAGCCAGAATCACATTATAGGGGACAAAATGAACTTAGGTGAATTCAGTGTTGAGCTTCTGAACTCAAGGAAATGCTACCAGATTAAGAAAAGGGTTGATCTCAGAGTTGGGGATTGTATAAACTATGACGTTTGGAAAAATGTGACATAACTGGATAACCTGCTATATCTTCTCAGTGGCTTTCACTCCATGAAAGTGTGTGTGATATTTTCCTTTCATTGTAGAATGAGAGAGTTGAAAGGAGTATTGATTTTACAGATGGAGAAACTGAGATCCGGTGCGGTAAAGAGACCTGATCTAGGTAACAAAACTCACAGAATCAGGAATAAAACCTAAACTTGAAGAATCCTAATGCAATGTCCCTTTGAGTCCCCCATGCTACTTCCTCCTATAACTCATCACAATGGCAAATGGTCTCTACTGGTAATGTTGAAATATTTTTCATGTCTGTAAAAACAATGAGAAGGAAATGGAGAAAACATACTATTTTACCCTACTCAAATGCTGCAAAATGAGTCTTCTTTTTCTCTGACTTTAGTGAGATGGTTTTAAAGGAAGTATGTTTTTTTTTTAGATTTTATTTATTTATTTGAGAGAGAGAGAGAGTATGCAGGGGAAAGAGGAAGGGGCAAAGGGAGAGGGAGAGAGAGAATCTCAAGCAGACTCTGCACTGAGCGTGGAGCCTGATGACATGGGCCTCGATCCCACGACCCTGAGATCATGACCTGAGCTGAAATCAAGAGTGGGACCGTTAACCAACTGAGCCACCCAGGTGCCCCTGAAGGAAGTATTTTCTCTATAACTTCTGCAGTGCTGAGTTGGATTATAAAGGATCAGAGGCTGGCTCATTTAGAAAGAGTGATTAATCATACTTACCACTGAGGAGACGAGTAAGGCAGGGTCACAAAGTCAAATATGTAGGTGGTTGCTGACAGATTAGTTTGAAATGAGTGAATGAGGGATTCGAATGGCAAAGAGAAGGACTCCAATGGCTTTCTAGTTTAAAGTGTTGCCTGACAAACTGTCCCTAATATAGTATCTCTGATTTTTTCCCTGAAATCCCCATAACGATATCAGGGAAAAAAATGAAAACAGTAAGTAAATGCCAGAACCTGTCAGTCCACTTTTGCCAAATTCAAGAGTAAATCCCACTACTAAAATAACTATGGAGCTTAACAAAGAATGCAATGAACTCATCTTTTCTCCAGAAACCAAGAAAAACTGCCAGCCTAAAAAAGGGAGGCTACTGATTCAGAGCCTTTCATTGTGTACCAACTAAAATCGAGTTGCTTGCTTTGTGGGCACTGTACTTGAGGCAATCTGAGTACTCATACTTGTTCCCTCACCCCACTGGCACCTCCTCTTATATATCTACTTTGAAATGAAACTCCCAGAGAACAAATCAAAGGGAGTAGCAACTGGGTGGATGGGAAATAAGATTAGCTGTAGTATATTGTGTCCTGAGAAGTATAATTCCAAGAAGTAGACCCGTAGTTGCTTAGGGTAGAGACAAGAAGTGCACTGAGAGCTGAAAATTTGGCACATTTGGTTTTTTTGTTTGTTTATTTTTTGCAATGTACTCAGTAGGTTCAGAGTGTGAAAGAAATGATAGAGACAGATTTAATTCCAAATAATTTTAAGCAGAATAACATGCCTTCAATGCTTACTAGGTTCTGGACCTTTTATGAGGATGAGTGACCAAGAATATGTTTTCCAGGTTCAAAATAAGAAAAAAGAGTCTACAAATACCCAAGACAACACTGAATGAGGTCAAGAGAAACTTGCAAACCATTTCTATTGAAAATGTTATTTCTGGCTAGAAATATCTTCATTACAGAATGGTTGGTATATTTTTTAAAAAGGCAAATAAAGAAAAAGAAAATATCATTAAAAGATTTAAAACAATGGCATATATTTTATGTAGTTTCCTAGAGAAGCCAGAGTAGTTTCAGATAACCCCTGGATGAGCTCAACAGAACATACAATGGCACATGAAAGAGTTGTGAGGATTGCCAAAGAACTGAACAGAAGGCAATGTCGTGGAAAAGGAGTTCAGTAAGATGGTAATGGGTTGCAAGGACACAATGCATACAGTGGCAGAAACGAAATCTTTGTCAAAGAGGGTAAGGAACCAAATGAATACTCGGGAAGATTGAATTCTCTGATCTAGAGGACAAACCAGAGAAGCCCTCCAAGAATGTAGTTAATAAGAGGGTTATAAAGAAGATGTTAGACTTGTGGAATAAGAGCTTGTAACATACTTACAGAATATTGATTTTCCTGAAAAAGGGAAGGTAAAAAGGAATAGGTACAATAATCAATGATTTAATCAAAGAAGACACTTTGGGGAAAAATGGCCCATGTCTTCAAATCAAAATGGCTCCTTACATTTCAAACAAAGTTAATTAAAAAGGAACCAAACTAGGGCTCAGTTGGTTAAGCATCTGACTCTTGATTTCAGCTCAGATCATGAGCTCAGGGTCATGAGATTGAGCCCTGCGTTGGGCTCAACACTGGGTATGGAGCCTGCTTAAGATTCTCTCTCTCTTTCTCCCTCTGCACCTCCCTCCCCCACTCATGCACTTTCTCAAAAAAAAAAAAAAAAGGACCCAAACTAAAACTTATCTCAGCAAAATTTTGAAATAAAAGAAATCAAGAGAAAAAATTTTACATGTATTCTGATAGAAAGGTATATAGGTTATCTAAAAAAAAAAAATTCTAAACATGGCTGACTTCATAGATCTCTTCTAAAACATCTACGATTCAGAGTAATAAGAACACAATGAAGAATTTCTCTAGACAATCTACAGAGTTTCAGGGAAAAGGTTTTGGTTAAATAATTTAAAAGCCAGTTGTTTTTCTTGCAATGGCAACAGAGTATGTAGATATCTTTTGTTTTGTTTTGTTACAGAAACAAGGCCTTAAAATGTGTACCTTAGTAAGGTTTTTAGAAATAAATTATTTAAAGGCTTACTCTGGTTACCTGAGAAATGATTCCAAAGAGAAAACTTAAAATGAGCAAATCATTGTGTTAAAGAATTTATTTGAGCCAATTAAGGGTGAAGGTAAGTCTAAATAATTTTGTAAATGTTTTGTAAATATGATAAATCCAAATGTCAAAAAAACTATTGAAAGAATATGCATGTACATACAAATTTTGTATGTATTTTATGTACATAAAAATAACATTTAAAATCTTAAATAATGCATCCAAACACTATAAAATGGAAACATGGGAGCTAAAAGTGTGTTAAATTCCTTGAAGTAGTGTGTTAAATTATAGATTTTATTCTTGCTGTTAATATTTAGATAAAGAATAATTTCAAAATGATTTTAAAAGAAAGCTGGTAAAAATTATAAAAATAATACCAACAAATCTCTACAAAAAAATAAAAGCAAGTGAATTATAATCCATCAAAAATTATTCAAAACCACCGAAAAGCACAAAAAACTGAAATCATTTAATCAAGACTGCATAAGTCTGAGGACATATTGCAATTATTAAAAGTAATTTAAGGAATCTTATTAGAATCTGTGAGATATGGCTAATGCAGCATGTAAAGGCAAATTTACATTAAATGTCTATTACTAAAAAGAAGAAAGTATATAAACTAATGACTCTGCTACCAAAGCCAGGCAAACACATTACAAGGAAAGAAAGCTACAGACCATTATTTCTCATAAACCTAGATATGAAATTTCTAAACAAATTTTACCAAATCAAATTCAACAATATATAAAAAGGATAATAGTACATCACGACCAAGTGACGTTTACCCCAGAATGCAAGGTTGCTTTAACATTTAAAAACCAATTACTGAATGTATTTGACCATAACAACAAACTGTAAAAGAAAACCATATGATTTCAATAAACACAGAAAAAACATTGGATAAAATACAACATTCATTTTTCATATAAACCCTCAACAAACTCGGAATAGAAGGGAACCCCCTCAACCTGAGAAAGAGCATCTAAGAAAAACATACAACTAACATGATACTTAATGGTGAAAGACTGAATGCATTTCCCCTAAGATCAGAAACAGACAAGAATGTTTACTATTTCTACTCAACATTGTACTGGAGCATCTAGCCAAGGCAATTAGGCAGGAAAAATAAATACAAAGGAAAAGTCAAAGTAAAACTCTTTATTCACAGATGACTTGATTGTAGAAAACCCAATGGAATCTATATGAAGCCACTAGAATAATAAGTGAATTTAGCAACCTTGCACGATGTCAGATCAATGTATAAAAATCAATCATATTTTTATATACTATCAGGGAACCATTGGAAACTGAAATGAGAAAAACAGTGCCACTTACAGTAACATCAAAAACATGAAGGGGTAGATTTGACTTAAGATTTGCAAGATTTGTATAGTAAAAACCACAGGAGAAAAATTAAAGAGGACCTAAATAGGTGGAAAGATGGGTTGGAAGTCTCAGTATTTTAATTTAATTTTTTTATTTAAATTAAATTAATTAATATATAATGTATTATTAGTTTCAGAGGTAGAGGTCAGTGATTCATCAGTCTTATATAACACCCAGTGCTCATTACATCAGGTGCGCTCCTTAATGTCCATCACCGAATTACCCCATCCCCCCACCCGCTTCCCCTCCAGCAACTCTCAGAGTCTCAGTATTTTATAAGCTGTCAATTCTCTTTAAATTGATCTATAGTATAAGTGCAGCACTAATAGAATCCCAGGACTTATTTTTTCCTTAGAAGTTGCCATTGACAAATTGATTCTATAATTCATACGGAACCCAAAGTATCTAGAATAATCAAAATACCTTTGAAAAAGAATAAATTTAGAGGATTAACATTACACAACTTGAAAACTTATATTAAGCTGTAGTAATCAAGGCAGTGTGGTATTGGTATTGAGAGAGAAAGATGGATCAATGTAACAAAATAGAGAGTTCAGCAATAGATTCATCCATATATAGACAACTAAATTTTGATCATCCAGCCTTTCAGCAGAAAACAGAATATTTTTGTGACTGAGATGGGCAAAGATTTCTTAGATAAAATACCAAAAAAATTGATAAATTGGATTTCATCTAAAGTAAACCATTCTTCTTATCACATTAAACAAGAAAATGCAAGCCTCCATGCATCGGAAGCATGGAGAAATGACATACTTGTAATGTGTATATATCACAAAGAGTTTTACCTCAAATATATAAAGAATTCCTACAAAACAACAACAAAAGGCAAACCATATAAAATGGTTAAAAGACTTGCACATACACTTCTCCAAAAAGACCAATAAACACGTTAATAAAAACTTAACATCATTAGTCACAAGGGAAAAGCAAATCAAATCTATAATGAAGTACTATTTTACATCCATCGTACCGGCAAAAAAAAAAAAAAAAAAAGACTAGTGATATGATGCCAAATATTTGCAAAGATATCCAATACTTTTCTGGTAGGAGTGGTCCAATCATATTGGGAAACAGTTTGGTAGTTTCTTATGAAGCTAGACACAAACTTGTCATTAATTCAATAATTCCACTCCTGGGTCTTTATCCAAAAGAACTAAAAACATTATGTCCACACAACATCTTTTGTAAAATATTGGTAATAGCTTTATTCTTAATAGCTAGAAAAGAAAAACAAACCATATATTCATCAACAGGAGCACTGATAAACAATTTGTGGATTATTCGTATACCAATAAAGAGGAACAAATTGTGACAAACTCACTAACATGAAATGATCTAAAAAATATTATATTGAGTGAAAGCAGACAGATGCAAAAGAAAACATACTGTATTATTCCATTTGTCTGAATTCCAAGGACAGGGAAAACTCATCCTTAGTGATAGAACTTAGAAAGTAGTTGCCTCTGGAGAGTGCGAATTTGGAAAGAGAGTCCAGAGTGCTTTGTCCAGGGATGAAGATGTTCTATATCTTGTTTGGACGGTATTTGCATGCTTGGCTATGATCGTCAAAAACATGAACTGTGAGATCAGGGATAAGTATTAAATTTTTTAAAAGGAGCACTAACTGCACTTTTGGTATAACTTTCTCTTGCTGTGTGGGTGTATGTAGATATCTGTAGATATCTGTGGGTATGTGTGTGCATATACCTGTAAATTATGCACATACACATATCTAAACCCGAATATAATCTCCTACCATATTACAATGGTTCCTTTCTGCCAGATCAGTGTTGTTAGTAAAGATAGGTGGAGGGGTGTCTGAATGGCGCAGTTGGTTAAGCCTCCAACTCTTGGTTTCAGCTCACGTCGTGATCTCAAGGTTGTGAGATCCAGTCCTGTGTTGGGCTCTGCACTCAGTGCGAAGTCTATTTAAGACTCTCTCTCCTTCTGCTCCTCTCCCCACTAAAATAAATAAATCTTTAAAAAAAAAAAAAGATGGGTATAGCAGAAAGATCCCGGATACTTTGCTTTGTCATTAATATCCAGGCACCCCTGATTAGAAAGTGATACTAGATAAGATAAATATGTGTTACCTCCAGTAATATTAAGCACAGTGTTACTGCCATAAGCAAACTGAGGAAACAGTGGACATTACAGTGTCTGAAGCTAAGTTCATTTTACTTTAAGGGCTAAGTTGTTGATTATTTTAAGCCATAGGCTTGCCCACGCAAATGGCTTGGGAGTTCATTTTCTACTTTTGCTCTCCTCCGCCCTTACTTTTTTCTTTTTCTATTTTGCCAACCAATTAACAATCAAGTAAGTCAAACAAACAAACAAAGAGTAGGTGTATTTTTCTCAGACAAGAATCTCAATAAATTGTTCTTCTCTAAGCAGTAAATTTTTTTTTTCCATTTTACTCTTTGCATTTTGTATAGAGGAAGCTAAAGGGAAAGAGCAAGACAGAGACAGGGAGAAACAGAGACAGAGAGAGAGACCGAAATTAAAAGGGGCTGAGCCTCTTGCACATCCAACCTCATTGAAGAAGGATAATGGGGAAAGAACATTCCACATTGCAAGAAACATCAGGCTTTGGAAATACAGTATCCTTTACAGCTAACGTTCACAAAGCATCTAATATATGCCTGTCATAGTTCTTATTTTATTGATTTATATTTCTATTCTATTTTTTTTTGATGTTGAGTATTTCACTGAACCTTAATTACAGTCCCATGGAGTTCTCTGACTTTTTCAAATACCATAATGAACGGGGACCATACCAAGAAAGCAGTATATAAAATTCCGCTTTTGCTTTTATGAGAGACGGATTAACTCCTGGAAAAGTGATCACCATTACTTGTCATTCAGCTATGCTTCTTGACAAAGCCCAACTACCATTACCCTAAAATACTACAGAAAACCAACACGAACAAACAGATATCACTACCATGACATCAACAACAAAAGATTTCTTCCTTAACAATGCATCTCCAGTGCAAAGTTCTAGAACACATGGTTGCAGTCAAGGGCTCCCATGAACTCCATTCTGTATCTATCACTTGTGCACAGACCGTTCGGTTGTCTTTTTCATGTGTGTAATACGATTCTCACTCTGGTGTAATTTTTACTCTCCTTTTGTACATGATCCTGTCACTCCGCAGACCCACAAAAATAGCTGTTTCTTGCTCCGCTTGCGATAGAAAATGATGTGTTTGTACTTCCGGCAGTGCTGATAATGTGTGAGTAATGTCTGTATTTGATCGTCTGGGTTCTTGTTAGTGAGGCAGAACATTCAAATTTGCTTTTAAAAATTTACATGGAGCGGCTACCCTTTCATTAGAGGTGGGTGGGGAGAACGGGGAACACAGAAGACCCTGGTTTATCTCTTTACACAGTGACCTTTTTTGGAGTATGCCCAGAATTAAATTAGATGTTGCAGCTCACAGAGTCAGTTCTTTTTTTTTTTTTTTTTTTAAAGATTTTATTTATTTGACAGAGAGTGAGAGATAGTGAGAGCAGGAACACAAGCAGGGGGAGCGGGAGAGGGAGAAGCAGGCTTCCCGCAGAGCTGGGAGCCCGATGCGGGGCTCAATCCCAGGACCCTGGGATCATGACCTGAGCCGAAGGCAGACGCCCAACGACTGAGCCACGCAGGCGCCTCCTCACAGAGTCAGTTCTTACGTCTTTGCCCAGCTAGTGGTTATGAGGACATACAGCTAACTCTCAATTACGAATATGCAAAAGCCACAGATCATCTCAAACCTTGTTTCAGACGCTCCTTTTGATTTCAAATACAGTTGATCCTTCTACCAAAACACTGAACAGTTTTTATTGTCGCTTTCTTCATCTGTGGTCAGAGTGCAGGGCTAATGAGAAGAAAATGGGAAGAAGGAATTAGGAGCAAAGGGAAGGGAGATGGTAGACAAATCTTGCACACACATCATTATCTGGGCTCAGAATCGATTCCTGCACATTTTAATTGAGGCTGGACTGAGGGCAGAACTTGGCAAAAACAGAGCTGGGGTTTACCTTCCATTGGGAGGGCATGTCAGGAAAGACAGGGCTAAGTGACAACTAGGTCCGAATGGGTATGCTGAACTCCAGGATTTTGCTACTTGAGGAAAGAGGAAGGAAAGACAAAGCGGAAATCACAGGAAAAAGAACAAAAATGAATCTGGAAACCTAATTTTCACTTTAAAAGAAGAAGTGGTCTTAGTTTTTTATGTCATGTATTTTGTTCCTTTTGTCAAAACCTAATTAAGAAATATGTATATAAAACACATAATTTCCTACTCACCAAAACCACAAAAAACTCATTTTGTTCCAGATCCCAGGAAACGATCAGTGAATTTCTTTTATCCCTTATTTCCGCCCCGTCTCTCTAATTTTTATATTTCTAAGTCTGCATCTACACTGTCAACAAGTAAGAAATGAAAAACTCACATTTGTGATGGCTTTCTTCTCAAACAGTTTGCAAAGCAACTTTTCTGACAGACATCTTCACTGACCAGAATACTTATTTCTAAGGAATGATGCATTAGTCACCAGGTTTTATGCCTTATAGACATATTCTTGTGTCTGTCTCTTGCTGTCAGTCTTCGCTCCCAATGTGTGATGCCTCGGCAGAAATTTCAAAGTGAAAAGGGATTGGTTGAAGCCTTGTACTTGAACCTTTCAGAAAAGTTGTATAATTTGTGAATAGAGCCATCCGGTCATTCTCGAATCAAGAACTTCAGCTAGGGAGACATGCCCGAGAATTTGTGAAAAGCAGACAAGTGCTTGCATGGGCACAAAGGGGACTCAAAAGAAATGAAGCAAACCTGAAGGAATGGATGAAAGAGATTCACTCGGTAGGAAAAATCAATGAGAGGAGCTGCCCAGGTTTACATTCTACTTAACACTTACCCTGAAACTAAGAGATAAAAATCATAACATCTATTTTTTGTTGTCTGATCACCTTGAACCATTTTAGTATTCCTATTTCTCTTCACGGAAGCAACCGCATTTATAGGTACATTGTCCAACTGCCTGGGAGAAAAGGCATTTTGGACAAAAGTTCTCCCAGTACTTGGGAGCTCACCAAGCAGCCGGGTTACAAGGGCACAGCCGGACGCCAGCTCACGGGGTCACCTCGCCCTGCTGCTCTTTTTATACTACAATCTTTTCTGACTTGTATTCCCTATTTCCTGTCAGGACCCAGAAACCGGGCTGGTTGTTTTTTTTTATTTGTGTGGGGAGAAGAGGAAAGGAACACAAGAGCACCAGGTGGAGAGTTAGGGGCATTGGCGTGTCTCCATGGAGGATACAGCGAAAGAGAGTGAGGTCTTTGCCCACGCGGCCACGTGTCCAACCTCTCCAGGCTCCAGTTCCAGACTCGGCCCAGCCTGTTCTACCTCATCTAGATGACCAAAGCTTCACTCTTCTCTCTTGTACTCCTCCAACTGCTGTCCCTTCCTCTTTCCCAGCCACCATGCTGCCACCCCCCAAAATGGCAAACGTTCCAGAGGCAAGATGAAAACACCACCCCAATGCCCTGACATCTCTCCGATACTGTCTGGGACTGGCACCTCTTTATTTGTCAACTGGTCATTTGTCCCTGCCTGCATCTAACGCTTTCTCAGCTCACAAAAGTGACGCTGGAAGCTGGGGCCAAGCGATGCCGAATGCAGAATTGGGTAACAGCGGGAAGGCTGTAGGGAAGTTGGCACTATTGGAATTAAAAGGCCTCTGGCAGAAAAAAAAAAAAGAGAAATACTTACAGGCAAAATGAGACCTTGAGTTGGACCTCTGTGGTTCCTTCTCTCACCTCCTGAGCCCTGAGAAATGATAGATTTGAGGGTCCGGTCTTCCTACAAAACCCCTGCGGACTAAATTCACTTCCTGATTTGTACTGCATAGACGAGAGTCTACCGTCCAAGCCCGGAATAGGAATTAACAGTTGTGTGTGTGTGTGTGTGTGTGTGTGTGTGTGTGTTTTCCCTAACAGCCACATCTTTGTGCAGATTCCTGGCATTTCTTTCTTTACACAGTGAAAAAAGATGCTGCAGTGGAATGACAAAATAAGGAGAAGGGCAGGAGGGGTTGGCTGGGCTGAGAAGTTTCGAGGAGAGAAAATAATGCAACTGTCTTCGTAAATGCTTGTTAACACCAATCATTTAGAGCACAGTTTCACAAAGATTAGTCGGGATTTGTTGTAAGCCTATCTTGGGAGTGCTTGCCTGTGGGAACAGCTGCTATTTAGTTACTTGATTGGAGAGAAACACACCCCCCTGTGCCCTTCCCCCCATGGGCTCTGAAAGTACCTCACTAGGGTATGGGGATCAGAGCCAGGTTCTTCATATTTTATTCAAGCCAATTTTCTGCCCGGACACGGTCTTTAAAACATGGCATGGCTATAGCAATACCATTCATCTTTGGCCTAGAAATGTGACTTGGCAGGTTGGGGCCGGGGGGCGGGGTGCGGGGAAGGGGCTCTGGAACCGGTCTTGAAATAGAGGTTCCTGTCACTGCAGATGGGAAGAGGTCATCGTACCTCTGAGCGCATCGTGACCCACTCAGCAAAACTCTCCAGATGTTCCTGGCTCCCTGGCACGTTTGTCTTGTCTCCACAGTGCTTTCCAGGAGGCCCCAGACAGAAATCTGGATGAACCAGCAGCTCAGTGTTTGCAGAAGGTCTCCTGTGAACTTGTCTTCATTGAAATGCCAGTGCAGGGCCGGTGAAGAAGGGTGGGCAACAGGGAGCCGGGACAACGCCTCCACACAAAAGAGGCCCCGTTGCTACCGTGATGCGTCATGTGGGAATGTGAATGCTCCAAACTCTGGGGATGACTCAAGTATCTAGATTTTCAAGTTGAAGATTCCCAGGTGTCAAAGGGTAACTCTTCCCAAAATAACCGAGAATGAACATGAACTTCACTTCTTCTCTCCTCCCCAAAACTTAAAAATTCCAAACTTGCTACATTGGGGTAAATCCTGCAGAAACACTCCAACTGTTCATTACTTTGTGAAAGCCAAATTCAGCATCTTCCACCCCCCTTCTTTTTTAACTTTGTTTTTCCAAGAGTAAGTTCTAAAAGGATGTGTCTGGTATCTGGTACTATCTATCTCTAATTCCCTCTGCATTCTTGCCTTTTCTTCTGCCACTCCTCATGTTTAAAAAATTTTTTTTTCCAACACTAATATTTGGTTCAATCAAGCTTCCCAAACCCTTAGCAAACCCAGAGAAAATTGCATTTTCAAAAAGCATTCGGCATCTCTCTCAGCAATGGGGAGAAGGGGCCCATGTCAGTGTGAGGAGACAAAGCAGTGCAGTGAGAAGTGTATATGCTTTAAATCAGACCCACTTGGGCACCTGAGTGGCTCAGTCGGTTGAGCGACTGCCTTCGGCTCAGGTCATGATCCCGGAGTCCCAGGATCGAGTCCTGCATCTGGCTCCCTGCTTGGCAGGGAGCCTGCTTCTCCCTCTGCCCCTCCCCCCTCTCATGTGCTCGCTCTCTCTCTCATTCTCTCTCTGTCAAATAATA